GATGTGTACAATCTTGAACTAAATTTAATTACAGATGGATGTGTATAATCTTAAACTAAATTTAATTACAGATGGATGTGTATAATCTTGAACTAAATTTAATTACAGATGGATGTGTATAATCTTGAACTAAATTTAATTACAGATGGATGTGTACGATCTTAAACTAAATTTAATTACATATGGATGTGTATAATATTGAAAAGCTAAACTGTCATGTAGCTGAACTTGTTAGTTGTTACTTTGTTTATCTAATCATGGCTACCAACGTTGGTTGAAATGTTTGAAATAAAACAAACAAGATCTCAGCTCACCTTGGAGAAAATTCATTGTAAGTTTATTATTTTTCTCATAAAATCGAAAAACAATGTTGCATCTTACATGTCTAAATGTATACATCAATGCTTAATCATTATTAAATATTACACAGTGAACTTCCCGAAGCTCTAAGTTTTCTCCACCACTAAAGTCGGAACTGCTGCCAATCTCTGACTGAACGTGACTGGTACAAACCAATTAGAAGCTGGGTGCTCTTTAAGGTAGTCTCCTCCTTTCTCTAAATATTCCGCTTTTGTAGTGGAGAAGCTCTTCAGGTTGTCTCCAGTTAAACTCCAGATCCGAGCTCCCCTCCAAGCATCAAGTACTGGATCAGCTGATTAGTCAGAGAAATTTAACAAGCCAGTAAAGTTTTATGTATCAGAGGCCTGTAAAAGTACTTACAAGAATGTAACTTTTCCAGGCGTTTAGATTTTAGATTTCACACTCATAGTATATTTTCTTAAATTTAATATTAAAGTACATAGTTTCCAAGGTTCTTGTTTATTTAATAAAAAATAAAAAATTATGTAAATACTTATCAACAATTGCAAAAAGAATAAAAGAAAAGAAAAATTAAAGGAGTTATATTTGAATGAAGTGTTGATACTTGTATGTTTATCAACTCTTAATAACTTACCATCATAAAAGAAACCACCAACAACTCAAGTACTATTGAAAAGTGGACTTTCCAGAGTATACTTTTTAAAAGTGCTCAAGCTAATGGGGTTATTTTCTTATGTTTCCTTTTTTCTGTTGATCCTGCTTGCTTTTGAATATCATGACTGATAATTTACTTTTTTTTTTAGCAACACATACATAATAAAATGTATCTTGATTAGAGTTTGTTTGTTTGTTTGTTTTTTTAATTATGCACAAAGCTACACAAGGGCTATCTGTGCTCTGCCCACCACGGGTATCGAAACCCGGTTTCTAGCATTGTAAGTCCGCAGACATACCGCTGTGCCACTGGGGGGCACCTTGATTAGAGATTAACCTAATTGTATATAATACAAAATGCCTGAACTTTGCTTTCCAGTGATTCATTAACATGTGTGAGATCTTTTGAAAATAGGATTATCATAGTAATACAAATCCATGCTATAAACTTAATAATATCAGAACACCTGCAACTTTTAACAAGTGTTTACATCACCTGGTTTAAAATTACGACTCTTAATTATTAACTTTTGTTCTATCACAATAATGACGACGTAAAAGAGTTACACATTTCTTTCATATGAAAATAAAATAGTAAAAGTTACTCCCTGGAAAAGAATTAGCACTTAAAACTTCCTTCAAAAAGTAATACATTACAGGATAATTATAGTATTTTGGCACTCGTGTATAAAGTTAAAATCATAACTAATATTCAACGTTAAACTGGTACACAATTAAAAACATTTTATTGAGGCTTATCTATGGCCTTCAAAAAGTTGACGACTCTACATGTTTCGAAGTTACTCCCGAGGATGACGTTGTAATGTCGAAACATGTAGTCGTCAACTTTTTGAAGGTCATAGATAGGCCTAAATAAAATGTTTTTAATTGTGTACCAGTTTAACATTGAATATTATTTATGATTTTAATTACAGGATAACTTCTACAGTACAAAAGTTTTGTTAAACAACAACAACAACAAAGATATTTTTCTCTTATGATACTAATTAACATAAACAATACCCATATTGGAATGTCTTTTGGACAACATACCTGCAACTGATACTTTAAAGGTTGACTGGAATGGCCTCATTGCTAAAAGTTCACTTTCTATCCTAGATTTGAACCCAGGAATTGACACACAACCACCAGTTAGGAACACATTCTGAAACAATAGTCATCATATCAATCATATAACTTTAAACAATTATGTAACATGTAAACTCCAACCTTTCCAAAAGAAATGAAGCATTCTGGGAAAACCGATGACAAGACCAAACAAAAACGAAACCTTGTTAAATAATCTTTACATTTCAAAAGAAAACATAAGATACTTAACTATTTCTTTGTCAAAATCAGTTTTTTTGTTTATCAGCAGTTCCTCATGAGCATATTTTTTGACAACTGATACTTTTCAACTACTTCTTTACAAAATCATTGTGACAAGTATCAAAGTTTAATAGCTAACTTTAATCAAAGTCAGTCTTTAATGAAATAGATCAATAATCTACATTTAAAATATAGAAGGTCATACGAAAAAAATTAGACCACTTGGAAAAACTTCTTGTTGAAAAACATTCAAGTGTATGAAGAAGAAGAATGACCTAAAGCCAAAGTGTGACATAAATTTATATCTAATTATATAAGTGGGAGATAACAGACATATCACAAACAGTACACATTTAATTACAGTGTTAAGTTCTTTACAGTTACACTGACAGCCAGAGACACTGGCAATCATGGATTGTTACATGAAGCAGAACAACCAACACTTAGTACAGATGGGCTACTGACAACCACGGATTGTTACATGAAGCAGAACAACCAACACTTAGTACAGATGGGCTACTGACAACCAGTGACACTGGCAATCATGGATTGTTACATGAAGCAGAACAACCAACACTTAGTACAGATGGGCTACTGACAACCAGTGACACTGGCAATCATGGAGTTGTACTAAGTGTTGGTTGTTCTGCTTCGTGTAACAATCTGTGGTAGTCAGTAGCCCATTTGTACTAAGTGTTGGTTGTTCTGCTTCATGTAACACTCCATGGTTGTCAATAGCCCATCTGTACTAAGTGTTGGTTGTTCTGCTTCATGTAACATCCGTGTCACTGGTTGTCAGTAGCCCATCTGTACTAAGTGTTGGTTGTTCTGCTTCATGTAACATAGAGGATAAAGAACATTTTAGAGAATCTCCTGTTTCCATAAAGGATAAAGAACATTTTAGAGAATCTCCTGTTTCAATAAAGGATAAACATCACAAAAATATTTAACAATATTTCTAGTCTAAGTTCATTAGTTATTTCCTAGAATTCAATGATAAAAAGAAAGAAAGACAAATGTCAATAATATAATAGAATAAATGCCATAAACCTATTTAAACTGCCATGTATGAAGTGGTCAAATACTTGCTATTAATGAGAGCCCATCAGCTTATACTAGATTGGGTCACCCATTGTTTATGCAGTGATTGGTCTACGCTGGAATATTTTGCGTGATATTTCTTGGGGGCAGTTAGGACCGTAAATAGAGTATTGTAATATATGTTGTTAATATTATTTTGTCTCGTCAGTAATTTAGGTCCTTTGAAATGACAGTTCAGACGTGAAAAGTCCTCGAATTATTTTTTCTAGTAGCCAGTATGAACCTTTGCACCAGTCTCTGTGTTGTAATAGTGTTTCTGATAACATGACTTGGTACTGTGACCCTGGTATTGTTCTATGTTTATAATCTGATTTATTTTTGGTTTGATTATCTGATAATGCATATATAATGTCTTTTTCTGTATGACTTAACAGTTTAGTTTGTCATAATAGCACTTCCAAAGAGTTATAGCCCAACTTGAATTCCACCTGTGAAGGCTCACAAGGGTTGGCTTGAATTCCACCTTTTATTTGGTATTGTAGTGTTGGTTGTTCTACTTCATGTAACAATCCGTGTCACTGGTTGTCAGTAGCTCATCTGTACTAAGTGTTGGTTGTTCTGCTTCGTGTAACAATCTGTGGTAGTCAGTAGCTCATTTGTACTAAGTGTTGGTTGTTCTGCTTCATGTAACACTCCGTGGTTGTCAGTAGCCCATCGGAAACAGGAGATTCTCTAAAATGTTCTTTATCCTCTATGGAAACAGGAAATTCTCTAAAATGTTCTTTATCCTCTATGGAAACAGGAAATTCTCTAAAATGTTCTTTATCCTCTATGGAAACAGGAGATTCTCTAAAATGTTCTTTATCTTCTATGGAAACAGGAAATTCTCTAAAATGTTCTTTATCTTCTATGGAAACAGGAAATTCTCTAAAATGTTCTTTATCCTCTATGGAAACAGGAGATTCTCTAAAATGTTCTTTATCCTCTATGGAAACAGGAAATTCTCTAAAATGTTCTTTATCTTCTATGGAAACAGGAAATTCTCTAAAATGTTCTTTATCCTTTATGGAAACAGGAGATTCTCTAAAATGTTCTTTATCCTCTATGGAAACAGGAAATTCTCTAAAATGTTCTTTATCCTCTATGGAAACAGGAGATTCTCTAAAATGTACTTTATCCAATTTTATTATTTTAGATTCCTGCCAAACGAATGTTGAGCTAGTTCCGCACTAACAGTATCATTAAAATAACATTCACATGACACCTACAGATGAAACTACATAGTGCAAAGTTTGTAACTAATCAACATTTCTAAGTTAACCTGTATACCACTTATGAGTCACATTTTCTAGAGACCGTTTAAACAAAACTTGGATAAACACAACTGTACAGTCCGTCATCAGTACAAAGATGGTGATGAGGAAGCAATGGGGTTACATTTTTTATTATTTTTCCTGGACCTCCCAATAAAAATCATTGATTTTTCAGGATTTCCAGTACTGAAAAGCTGCTTACGTAATTCCATGACCTGCAATAACCCTAGGGGTGAAACACCAGAATTACTGGTATGTAATGCGGTTTGAATACAAGAAGGGAAACAATGCCTCTGTAGCCACAAGGAATATCAAAGAAGTTTATGGAACTGTTTTGAATGTTCGTAAGTGTCAACGATGGTTCAGCAAATTTCGTTCAGGTGACTTTAGACTTAAAAACTGTGACGGCAGGGGCCGACATGTTGGAATTGATATTGATGTTTTGAAGACGCTTGTTGAGTCTAACCCAAGGCAACACACTCGTGAAATGACCCTGAAAGTGCATGTCTCTCATGAAACAATACGTAAACATCTAAGGAATATGGGAAAACTTCATGAAGAAGGCATTTTGGGTGCCTCACGAACTCTCCGATGATCATCGTTTTCAACGTGTGAACGTTGATTCATCTTTTCTGGTGCATAATGCATGAGAACCATTTTTGGATATAATTGCCATCTGTGATAAAAAAACTGATTCTCTATGCAAATATTAAATGCAAAAACCTGGACCCCATTTGGTGGGACATCAAAGGAGTAATTCATTTCAAACTCCTCAATCCACAGTGAACTGTCAATGCAG